TTCAAATATCTATAACATTTTCGTCATCAAATACCAATCCTTTTTGAGATCGTATAATTTTTAAAAATGTTAGTTTCAGATCTATGGCTATTATTCGAAAAGGAAAGGTAAAAAATTTGCTTTTATTTATATATTTAATTATTTTTTTAGATATGGAAATTTTTATTAAGGGAACATTGATTCTAGTCAAAAGTATTTCGGACCTGCGGAAACTTTGCCGCATTGTAGTGTTAAAATAATTTAGCAAGTCGGCTCATAAAGTTTTTCTAAATTCGTATACACTTTTATTTAAATCACATCTAAAGCACAAAGAACATTTATAAGGTTCATCCCCACTGTAATGCTTCAGACCGACCTTATTCCTTTATATTTCCATTATCTTTTCCAACAGCCTATTCATCATTGAGAAAATATTACGAATCATTAAATTCGAAAATGAAGTCAGCAAAGCGAGAAAATGTCAAAACAAAAAGTCCTCTTATTAGAAACCACAAACATCTCACAACAATCTCAAATTTCATTTTAAATAACCATAGCTTTCGACTAAAAACACACACTCACAAACACTCACATTTCTACTATTTGCCGTTGAATACTTTGTGGTTAAAATTGCAAAATCTTTAATTTAGTAGGCTGTTCGTATATGTTCGAATACAACAAAGCAGGTCATCAAATGAAAGGGATAACATAACACACACATGTTTAGATAAAATAGCTTGTTTTAATTCCATTATAAGTCTGCCTAGACTCCTATTTTATGGGTCTTCTTTGCCTTCAGAAAAGTTTTAAAATTAAATGTTGTTTTACAATGTTCTTAATGTCAAATATTATGTGGCGATAAATACGAATTCATCTAATCTTTTCGGGACAAGATGTAATGATATGAAAATTTTGACTTATTTGTAATATTTGGATATATATATTACAAATTAGACAAACTTTTAGTTGGGTTCAACATTAGTTTAGCCTGCATTTAATGAGGAACACCTAGAAATCACTTAATATGGGGTTATTCAAAATACTGGATCAATTCGTAAAGATTCGTTTTTATACCCTACACCACAAAGTGGTCAGAGTATTAGGTCTGTCCGTCCGTCCGTCTGCCTGTCCGTCTGTCCGTGTATTTTCGTAAACAAAGTACAGATCGCATTTATCGCTTAGTTCGGAAATTAGATTTTGCTATGTTTAACAACTTATGTCCAGTACCAATATTTCGAGGTTTGAATTAATTTTTGGCCAAATCAACCTTATAATAGCCGCAACACGTAGTGTAGTAAAGTATAAATATGTGTTGGTACTAAGATTCACCAAATGTCGCCTTAGTTTCCATTATATATAAAATTCGGTTAAAAGAGCAAAATCCATTCGATTTGGGCTGATATTAAACATTTGGTACACAATAAACATAAATTCGGATAAAGGTTTCCATGAGTGCTATATCCAAATCTGAATCTGAATATCCAAATCTCAACAAAATTTGACATAAGTATCACTGACTTGTACCTGATTTTGTCGAAATATAGACTGTGTATTCGGTCGAATTTGCCAAAATCCATCCTATGTAAAGTAATTATACGCACAATAAATTTGAAAATGTATCAATTCGACAATAGATTCCACATAAACTTTGAATACAAAAATACATGAATGGACATGCGTATATCGACTCAGAATATGATCTATGGGAATCTTCAGAAGGAACCATGGGTCTATTCCGTTTCCTTCTGCATGTTAAAAACAAATGATCAACAACAGTGTGGCGTAGGATATAATTATTTATGTAATTACTTTTACAAGGACAAATCTACATAAATAAAATGTATTCACAGATGTTACACAACCACATGTTAACCTACTTTAAGCTGTCCATTCCAATGCGTGGCTTTTATACTACCAGTCATGTAACACACCGAAAAACCTTTATTAATTGCAGAGAATCTGATGAAACACTCATGTGGACAGGCGCCATGTATTCTATCGAAGTTATTTCAGAAACAAATTTTAATATTGTTTAATCTAATTAAAGAATGATAAATAGTTATTAATAATAAATTAAAATAAATCAATAAAAAACAGCATAGTGACTTTTAGCAATTATTAATTATATTAGTTTATTGGTTTAAACAGAAACGTGCGTGTTTCTTGTTATACCCTCCACCATACTATGGAGGGTACATTAACTTTGCCATTCCGTTTGTAACTCCTCGAAATACTCATGTCAGACCCAACATATATATTCTTGATCAGCGTAAAATTCTAAGTCGATTTAGCGATGTCCGTCTGTCTGTCTGTTGTAATCACGTTATCTTTCGAATGAATTGAGATGCATGGCTAAAATTTTGCACACATGTTTATTTTTCCAGTAGACAGTAAATGGGCCATGTAGGTCCACGTTTTCATATAGCCCCCATATAACAGTACCACCCGATATTCTGTATTTTGATGATTTTATCGACATTATTCACCGGAATTGTTTCAAATTTGGTATTTGAAGTTCGAAATGGATACTACACCCTAAGACAGAAAAATGTCTGTACAGGTCCACGTCTTCATATAGCCCCCATATAACGGTACCACCCGATATTCGGTATTTTGATGATTTTATCGACATTATTCACCGGAATTGTTTCAAATTTGGTATTTGAAGTTCGAAATGGATACTACACCCTAAAACAGAAAAATGTCTGTGCAGGTCCACGTCTTCGTATAGCCCCTATGTAAGGGTACCTCCCAATATTCGGTATTCTGATGATTTTAGCGTCATTGTTCACCAGAGTTGTTTCAAATTACGTATTTGGAGTTCGTTATGAGAACTACAATCTGTGACAGAAAATTGTCTATGTAGGTCCAGGTCTTCGTATAGGCCCCATATATCAGTACCTCCCTATATTCGGTATTTTGACGATTTTAGGTACAATACCCATCGAAATTGTTTGAGATGTGGTATTTGAAGTTCGTAATGGATGCTACAGCCTGTGACAGATAATTATCTATGCAGGTGCAGGTCTTCGCACAGCTCCGATATAACGGTACCTCCCTATATGCGATATTTTGACGATTTTAGCTACATAATTCACTGTTTATTTCAAGTTTCGAGTTTGAATATGGTAATGGCTTATGACAAACAATGCCTATGTAGGCCCACGTCGTATACACCTTAATATAACGGCTATATTTGGTATTTTTAAAATTTTAACGGAATGTTTTTATCATTTTATTTTCTGAAAATTTCCAAATTCGTTCCAAATGGTGGAGGGTATTTAAAGTTCGGCCCGGCCGTACTTACTGCTTTTTAACTTGTTTGTTTTTTCGCTGTCAAACATCTTTAGTACAAGTTAAATAGTATCAGTAGATTTTGCCGACAGATGTATACCCCCAGCCTTGAGTTATGATTATTGAAACTGTTGACCCTTGAGGGGGGTGGTTCCGAAGCAGTAGGCCAACATTGTCCAATTCGTATCTGGCCTAAGTCTGATATAAATATTACAAAGTTCTATATTTGGACTATATCGTCCACTTCCTATATTTTGTATGAGATATGTGCAAATTTTTGAAAAATGTGGAAATATGCGTGAGGTACCAGATATAGCGGACCGAAATATTCCACTTCATCTAACACAGAAAAAGGTATTGGCATGTACTCAATTTAAAGAAAATCGAAAATAAGTATCCAATTTTATACGAAATCATAAATTCCGGTAAATTATGTATTCATATCAGATTTCTGGTTAAGAGATATATTTAGATATAGCAAGTTGTACAGAATCGACGACTTGTTTCGCAAGATATGACCGATATAAGTATTGGAAATTGTGATCCTTTGTGGGTGAGGTAACATAATGCAGATATCAATATAATTTTCACAATAGATTTTGCGTTAGCAAAAATAGAACATTGTTGGCATATTTGTTCGGGATACTATAGTATTTTGTTGTTGTTTAGTAGTGGAGAACGATGGTAATGTTTACCAGGGGGTAAGGCAGGAAATACATAGATTTCGGAAAGAGCCACCAATCCTCATCAGTTCCCTTATTTTTTGTATGGGATATTCTCCCCAGGAGTTATTTTAAAAATAACTCCTATGACAAAAAACTTTTTCACCCAAGTGACGAGATTGTATGCTCAATAGAAGCTCAATAGCAAAAATGTTTAGATGGGTGACATTTGAAGAAAGTTGGATGCTTATTTCGTGTTTATGAGAGTTTCGTTTTTCAAACAAATTTGTGGGGGAAGTATAAGAAGAAGTAAGCTGATATATTCCATTTTCAAAGCAGATCGTGTGTTAGTAAACATAATGGCATGTTTGAAACTTTATAACAGTCGGATTTTAGGATCGTTTTGGTTATTCAAAATTATATATACAGAAGAAATATAAAATTATATATACTGTGTATAAAATTATATATACTCTTATATATGGGAGATACATCCAAATCCGAACCGATCTCGATAAAATTTAACAAAGGTATTTCTGAGCTGTATTTGACATATTTCCCCAATTGTTGTTACAGAGTGCATATTACGGCTGCGGAGGACTAAAATAACAAATCGGATGAAAAATATATATTGGAGGGATTGTGTTGGAAAAACGTGAAGAAGATACACGCGCTTGTAAACGATCCGTAATAAACAAATAAAAAACACACTTACAAAGCTTCGATAAGCAGAAAATTTTGGACAACAAAGAGACGGAGAAAGCGGCAATCGATTAAATTTGAAGTGTAGTCAAATGTTGGTGACGTATTCACTTTTTAAATAATTTATTTTCACACTTTTTATAAAATCCATTGGAAATACAAAACACTCAATTTGTTTGAACACTAACAACGCCAGCTGATCTCTTTCTATCCAAATACTGGTTGGATGCCACAGTTGTTTATAATTTCAACTAGAATTGACAGCTGACAAATCATATTATACGGCGTTGCCAACCACCATATACACCAGTATTTAAAAAACATTGCCAATATAAACATTTTTTTGTATAAGGTCTGTTCACGATGTCACAAACACCAATATCATCGAAACAAACTCTTGCATTTCAATCTGCAAAGAGAACCTTGACTGAAACTTCTCCCGATGAAATGCCAGGCTCGTCGAAAAAACTGGTGGGAAATATACAGGTTTCAGATTTAATGAATATGATGCAAAAGTCAATGGAAGGTATTATGGATGAAAAACTCAAAAATCTAGCTACAAAGAGCGATTTTGAGGATATTAAAACTAACGTCGCAGAAATCGATAAGAAATGTGAAGATCTGAAAAATGAAAATGAAATATTACGATCTGAAATCAACAAGCTAAAAGCAGAACGCGAAAGAGACAATGAAAATTTAAGACGTCTAGTTGACCAGAGTAAACGCAAAAATGTTATATTCAAAGGCATTAAGAAACAAGGCTCACCGAAAAATTCTGTTGAAAATGTCTGTATAAACGTTTTGAAACTTAATGATTTGAAAATTAAAATGGCAAGAACTTTATATACAAACAATGGAAAAATTGGAGTTGTAGCTGAAATGCAGACGGAGGAAATGGTACATAAAATATTTAAAAATACCAAAAATTTAACAGGGTCTACCATAATAATAGAGAGAGATTTGAGCGAAGAAAGACAACAAGATCGCAAAGTTCTCTTGCAAATAAAATCAGCCATACTTCAGACTGATAAAACGCATAAAATATTTGTTAGAAATGATTCCCTCAAAATTGGAAATAAATGGCTACATTTTTCAAAAAACCGCGAACTGATGTCGGGAAGTAATAAAGCCGAAACGGTACTCAAAGAACTCTATGGTAATAAACTAGCGGATTTAAATATAGATTATATGCATTTACTAAAAAATGTCATCCAAAAAAACTAATTGAACGAAATATATGTAAAATCAAACCCATCACAGAAGAACATAATCTAAAAATAATTTCGTACAACATTCATGGACTTGAAAATAAAACATTATATCCAGATTTTTTCAAATATCTAGCCGATTTTGATATTATTGCCCTTTGTGAGACACATATCTGTCAAGATAAAATAGTTTTTTTTAAAAAGTACTTTGGTGACTTTTGTACGACTTGGTATCCGGCAACAAGAAATAGCAGATTTGGAAGAGGAATAGGAGGTAGTGTTGTTGGGGTAAAAAAAACTTTAAAAAATATTGGTTTAAAATACAGCTTTGAATGCAGATTTGGCATAAATTACGTCAAATTCAAAATCAACCAAAATAGTTTTCATCTAATACCACTATATATGAGGTCAGCAACCTGGAATGAAGATTTTCAAAAATTGGACTTATTCCTGAAGGAGAATTATATAGAAAATCCAATAGTAATTGGTGACTTAAATATAAGAATTGGCAATATGCAGATCGAAATTGAGGAAGACCAGAAATCAACTTTTTATGCGGGTTTGGAGGAAAGAAAATCCAAGGATGTCGAAATAAATACCAGAGGAAAGAATTTCATCGACTTTTGCTATGATCATGGTTTGCTGATAACAAATGGCATGACTAAAGGGGATGAATGTGGAGAATTTACATTTGTGAGCACAGTTGGAGCGTCAGTGAATGACATATGCGCAGTCTCCCATAATCTTCTTTCAAACGTTGATGAATTTCGAATCGAAAATAAAACCTGGTCTGACCATATGCCAATAATATTATCATTAAATATCAAACTACAAAACGAAAAAGAAACCTTAAATACACTTCTGCCAAAGCTAAAGTGGAATGCAAATAAAGCATCAGATTATCAGAATAAAGTATTGGAACTCATCGAAATAAGTGGTAATCAAGGTACTTTTACCTTTTCAGATGTAACGAATCTTATTAAAGATGCATCAAAAATCTTCTTCAAAAAAACACCTAATTTTGCGAAAAATGAAAAATGGTTCAATACAAGATGCTACAATGCTAGAAAAACTTCCATGAAGAAACTTAACAGATTCCGGAAAGACTCTACAATAGAGAACAAACGCAAATACCTAGAAAGTAATCGTATATATAAAGATGCATGCCGATTGGCTAAACTGCAATATTTCAGCAGTTTAGAAAGAAAACTTGATAATGTCAAAGATAGCAAAGATTGGTGGAAAATAGCTAAGGAAATCCGAAATGATACAAATAATCAAAGAGGAATATTCGTCGAACCAAACGACTTCAAACGGCATTTTGAAAAATTGCTCAACCCACCGCAAACATCACCAGATATCCAGTACGCTCCAAACTTTTTCATAGATGATGATTTGGACAAGCCTATTTCAATGACAGAGCTAAAGAACGTCTTAAGAAAATGTAAAGTAAATAAAGCTCCAGGAGAAGATCGTATTCCATACGAGTTCTACAAAAATGCTCCAGAACAATTGCTACAGGAAATCGTAAATTCATGCAACAAAGTTTTCAACTCTGGAAACGTTGACTCGACATTTTCTACCAGCATAATCTACCCTATATTTAAAAAGGGAGACACTACACAAGCTCAGAACTATCGAGGGATCTCTTTTATGAACTGCTTGCCAAAAATTATGATGGGAATTATTACGGAAAGGTTGTACAATTGGGCGGAAAAACACAAAAAGATCAATGAATATCAGTCCGGTTTTAGAAAATACTACTCGACGAATGATAATATATTCAGTCTCACTTCGATGGTCCATATCAACTGGCATGAAGATAAGAAAACATATGCGTTCTTCGTAGATTTTAAAGCGGCATTCGACAATGTTTGCAGAAAATCTATGCTATATAAATTAAATATCCTTGGTGTGTCAACAAAGGTAATAAGATTTATAGAAAATGTATATAATGATACAAACTTTATGGTATGGACAGGACATGATCTCTCCGATAAATTTTCGACGTCAGCAGGAGTAAAACAAGGATGTTTACTGTCCCCATTGCTATTTGCCCTATACCTAGACGATTTACATGAGTTCATCGGCGGCGGTATCGAGATTGATGACCTAAATATAAGAATTTTGCTTTATGCAGATGATATAGTAATCCTGGCAAATGACGTGAAGGTACTACAAAAAATGATAGATAAATTAGAAGAGTATTGTAGTATATGGAATGTTACTGTCAACTTGGAAAAGTCAAAAATAATGGTATTCAGAAAAGGTGGAAAAATCTCGCAAAATGAAAAATGGCTCTACAAAAATGAACCAATTACAATTACTTCGGAATTTACCTATCTTGGGATGTTACTAACACCAAAGCTCTCTTTCAAAAACCACATTTTGGCAAGAAATAACTCATCCAAAAACTGTATAAACTCTACATGGAAATCCTTTTTGAATAAGCCCGATGTATCAATTACGTCAAAATGGAAACTGTTCTCAGCAGTTTGCAGATCAATCCAACAATATGGCGCGCAAATATGGGGATATACAAATTTTGAGGACGTAGACAAATTAGAAATTTACTTCTGGAAGAAAATATTAAAACTCCCAAATTTCACACCAACATACATATTAAGATTAGAAACCGACATGGAACATAGCCATATCCTCTCCTTGAAAACCCATTTGGATTATATCATTCGAGCCATATTTGATTACAATAGCGACCGATTACCTCACAAACTGGCGAAAATAGTTCTGCAAAAAGACATTTACTGGGCAAAGCATATTCGTGCACTCTTAATGCAAAACAATATCGAACCATTTAATTTAAATAGTACCAAAAGCGAAGTTGTGGAAAAAAAAGATCACCTCCTAAAGACATTAGATTACAAATATTGGTGCGATGCCATAAATAGAGCCAATCAAACGACCCGAATTTACTCGAAGCTAGACCCATCAGTAGGTCAAACTTACATCAACTCGCTGTTAACGTCAGAGGAGAAAATGTGGATATTCAAAGCCAGAAGCGATATTATGAAACTTAATCTCAATAATATAGATGCAAATAGGAACCCACTCTGCTCCTTATGCAACTTGATGGAAGCTGAAAATCTTCAACATTTTCTTTGTAACTGCCCCATATTTAAAGAATTTAGAATAATGTTCTTCAAAAAGACACTGCTTAAGGAAGATGACCTTATAAATATTTTAAATGGATATATTGTAAATTGGAAATATGTCGCAAGTTTTATAAAAATTTGTACACAATATAGAAATCAGCTATTATCTGAATTTAACTTTTAAATCCCAATTTGTATTTTCAAACAATGTCTTAAAAAATAATAATAATAATAAAATAAAAAAAAAATTACAACATAAGCTACAGACAGACAGCCATAGGCTATTGTCTTATCGATATTATATATCTAATTTTTTATTTAATATTACATAAAAGTTTAATTTAATATTACATACACTGTAACGAATTTGAAATGTTTAAATAAAAAATACTCTACTACTACTACTACTACTATTGGAGCTATAGCTATATCTGAACCGATTTCGATCAAATTTGGCATACTTATTTTCAGGCCTAACAGATCTTGAGTTGATGGAAATATTGAGATGAGCTTCATGGTTATTAAAAATTTTGACCCTTTGTGGGGGAGGTACTAAAAAGTAGAAATAATGAGATGTATGATATATGAAGAGAACCGGATGCTTATTTCGGATTTTATAATCGTTTTGGTTATTAAAAAATTTGACCCTTTGCGGGGGAGATACCAGAAGGATTGAGCCAATATATTCCATCTTCACATCAGACTATTGGTTAATAAAAATATTGTGATGTGTGTAATTTGAAGACAATAGGACTCTTACATCACATTTTATAATTATTTAAAATTTCGACCCTTTGTGGGGAAGGTACTTGATGGAGTGACCGATATTATTCTTTTTTCGCACCTGACCTAGCACTGATGCAAATATTAAGATTTGGTATGTTGGAGCAAAATTGGTTAATCCATTATCTTCCTGTGCAGTAAAATATATTTTTTTTTTAATTTCGACCTTTGAAGAAGTTGACTGATGGATGGATTGGATCAAATTTGATACTACCTTCGACAGATATTGTGCGCACCAGCCAGCCAGAAAACGGACGGACATCGCTAGATCGACTCCAAATGTCCTGAAACGGATTTGGTGTAAGGATACCATTATTTCGATGAGACACGTTTTGACCGTATCAAATGATATATACTCTATCTAGCCATATGCCTGAGGATATAAAAATGCGTCCTCTTTTCAGAAAGTTCATTGTGCGCTTCTTAATCGGCCTCTTCTTAATGATGACCAATGATCGTAACGTAATAGTGAAAGGTGAGATTATCCACTCTTTTTACCAAATTCAAAAGCTTATTGAGAGGTGAGTTAGTTAAATATTTTATTTCACATTCGGGACCAGTCAATTGCCCGCGTAGACCATGCGATTTAACGTCTTTTTGTGCGGTCCTGTAAAGCTATAAGTGAGACACCGACCGAAAAGTAGAAAAGAGAATGCCAAAACTGACAAAGTGGTTGAATCATTCAGCCGCGATCTATAAGGTTAAAACTGTAATATCAATTCAAGTAACGATTTCATGACTTTTTCTCAATGTGTGTTTTTTTTTTTGAAACCTTTCCTATTGCCTTACAAATGACCCTTTTTGTACGGCTTTCTCAGTAAGTAGTACTTACCGGTGTTTAATGCCTTGAACTGGCGCTAAAGTATTAGGATTACTAACTATTTGGACTGAGTTTATATAAAATGATACATGTAACATTATTCGATTTTTTAATCATTTTTATACCTTTGCTAAATTTTATAGAGATCGGTTCAGATTTGGATATATCTCCCATATATAACATCGTCCGATTTACCTTTTATTGTGCACCAAACGTCTCATATTTGCCCAAATGGGATGAAATTTGGCACTTACGGCCGAAATGAGTCTAGAAGCTACTGTGTTTAATTTGGAGAAGATCGGTTCTGATATAGCTATAGCTCCCATACATATTGTTCATCCGATTTGTTATTTTTGTCCTTCGCAACCGTAATATGCACTCTTCAACAACAATATTTGGGGAAATATATCAAATACAGCTCAGAAATACATTTGCCAAATTTTATCGAGATCGGTTCAGATTTGGATATAGCTCCCAAATGGGATGGAATTTGGCACATACGACCGAATTTAGTCTAGAAGCTAGTATGTCAAATTTGGTGAAGATCGGATCAGATATAGCTATAGCTCCCATATATATTGTTCATCCGATTTGTTATATTTGTTACCCACAACCGTAATATGCACTCCGTAACAACGATATTCAGGGAAATATATCAAATACAGCTCAGAAATATCTTTGCCAAATTTTATCAAGATCGGTTCAGATTTGGATATAGCCCCCCATGTATATCAAATGGGCAATACAAGTCCGAATTTAAAAGATACAGATGCTTCGGCGTATTTAGTCCTTTGAACTTTAAATTATACTTATAGTCATAGCGTGTATGATAGAATTCTCCCATAAAAACTCTTAATTGTTATGTGGTGCTCTACTAAATTAGCAAATTGGTGTAGGGTATAATAGAGTCGGCCCCGCCCGACTTTAAGACTTTCTTTACTGGTTATTATATGAAAACATCCAATGTTTTCAAAGTCCACATTTTTTTTTACATATCCTCTTACCTTCTTTGCCCTGACTACGGTTTCCCTTCTGTAAAACCGCCATATGTTTTGTCATTTCCTTTCGTAAGTTCAACAACAAAATACCAAAGATTTTGACCTCTCCACAAACAAACAATTTGCATCGAGTAGTGGACACACAAATGCCAACTAATGAACTGTAAAAAACGAAGAAGCAGAAGGGACAGAAGAGGAGAAGAACAAAAAAATAAATGCTGAAACATGTCTGCAGCAGACAAACCACAATCGTCCAACAGAATGGGTTAAGTGTAAACACACAATGAAGCCACTGTATTTCACAGCTGTGGCATGTGTCGAGCAAGGATGATGATGACGGCGACTACAACGCAGATGATGATGACGATGCTGCTGCTGCTCAAGCTGTTGGCATTTTAGTGGGCGGCATTTAAGAAATCATTTAAAAAGTCAATTTCATTGTTGCGGCAAGCATGCGAAAATACATTCAACAGAAATTTTTAATTAAAAATATTTTTCAATGGTATCAAGGGATACAGATGACTGACTGACTGGCTGGACAGACAAGCATAGCGGACCGACGGACTGGCGAATTGACGAGGTTGGTCGTATTTAAACAATAAAGCCATCAGAAATGTGATAAATCAACGATTGTAGCACGATTTTAAGCATAAATTGAAAAAGAAGAGACGACAAAAAACGTTTATAAATCACTTCTATTGTGTGGAGACATGAAGTGCTCTTCTGCTCTGTGAATTTTGTTTGCCTCAAACGTTTGACTGAAGTCTGTCATTGAATTTTTAATGTTCCCATGGGTATATTATTATTATTATTTTTTTTTTGCCTTGTATACAAACAAATATATTATAATTTTATCGAAGTGTTTAATTTTGTTGACAATGAAATGTGATACTGTGTTTGGATTTAGTCTGGGGATTTCCATCATTTTCAATAGAAAGAGATGGGATTTTGTGTGTTTGACGAACGATTTAAATGTTGCAGGTTCGTTCTGGTAAACATGATGAAAGGCATGTGAGCTACAAAATATTTCCACAGATTTCACGTTGCTCTGGATTTGAAGTGTTTAAATGTATTTTTTGTATTTCAATTAAATCAAACCAAAATACATATGCTGATGGACCTTCACCCGAAGTCGTGTTAACTTATTAGTTGAGTTAATATAGGTATTTACAATTAGATTTGCAAAGTTAACGGAAGATGCATAGACAAATATTAATTAATTATTTTTTATACCCTCCACCATACTATGGAGGGTATATTAACTTTGTCATTCCGTTTGTAACTCCTCAAAATAATGATGTCAGACCCAATAAAGTATATATATTCTTGATCAGCCTAAAATTCTAATTCCCATATAACGGTACCTCCCTATATTCGATATTTTGATGATTTTAGCGACATTATTAACCGGAATTGTTTCAAATTTGGTATTTGAAGTTCGTAATGGATACTACATCCTATGACAGAAAATCGTCTGTGCAGGTTCACGTCTCCATATAGCCTCCATATAACGGTACCTCCCAATATTCGGTATTTTGATGATTTTAGCGTCATTATTCACCAGAATTGTTTCAAATTACGTATTTAGAGTTCATAATGGGAACTTCAGTCTGTGACAGAAAATTGTCTATACAGGTCCAGGTGTTCGTATAGGCGCCATATATCAGTACCTCTCTATATTCGGTATTTGACGATTTTAGGTACAATACTCACCGAAATTGTTTTAGATGTCGTATTTGACGTTCGTAATGGATGCTGAATATTGTAATGGCTTATGACAAACAATGCATATGTAGGTCCACGTCGTATACACTCCAATATAACTACTATCTTCGGTATTTTTAAAATTGTAATAGAATTTTTTAAGCATTTTATTTTTTGAAAATTTCTAAATTAGTTCCAAATGGTGGAGGATATTCAAAGTTCGGCCCGGCCGAACTTACTGTTTTTTAACTTGTTTTTAGTTCCCAAAGTGTTGACATCACATATCCTTCAAAGAGAGAGAGAGTAATTTACTAGAATTACAGAGAAATTCTTCTTCTGGCCTCAATACCTTTAAAATATATATTTACCTTGTATAAGAATATGTTTTTTTTGTTTATATATTATACAGGGTGAGATGAAAAAACTGCAACCAACTTAAGACTGCTCTCTCTTCTAAGCTACTAGTCCGACATCTGTAAAATTATTCCAGTGACAACTCATTATATTGTCAACAAGCGTACAAAAACATTTTGGTGGGAATTTTCCAGAAATAAAGTTATTCCTGGATGGAATTCAAGCGTGATTTCTTCATATTTGGCTAAAAAACCACTAAAATATTCTTCTGATATCTATTCCCCCTGCAGCAAATTTAGGGGTCATATGTCGGTACACTTATAAAGGTAGTTAGGAGTTATTTCAGAAATCTCAAAAGCTGGACGAAAGGCTTACGAATTCGCTACCAACCATCAGATTACCCTTCTTTCACCGGCGGTAAATGTTTCAGAGCTCCTGATACCTCCACTCCTGAAAAAGCAGATTTCAAATGGATTTAACCAATAAATGGTTTCCAAAAGAGAACGGTATTTAGTCTAATTCTGCATATATCTCGATGGTATCATTCGTAAATGATCGTTCCGTTATCGAAAGCACAGGGTTACCCATATTCGACGTACCCATCTGGCAACGCCATAACTTTTGACAGAGATGTCACATCGCTTAATGACATACCGCGTTTGAAGCGTCAGTCCAAGCAGATTTTTAGCATGAACCAATACACGCCACGCGAGCGCTCTGAAATAGTTGGAATTTACATTCAACAGAAGAAGTCAATTGTGAAAAAAATGTGAGGAGTGCGCCTTCTAAGAACACCATTAAGCGTTTATACGAAAAATTTTCGAGTGGTAAGGCTCTTTCTAATCCGAAGAGGCCATATAAATGTCGACCAAGGCGATCGGCCGAGAACATCGCTGGAACAAAATTATCATGTCCGATGAAGCCCATTTCACATTGAATGGGACCGTAAATAAGCAAAATTGCCTTTTTTACGCCACTGAAAATCCTCAAGAGATTCAAGAAGTGCCTCTTCATTACGAAAAAGTCACAGTTTGATGCGGCGTTAGTGCGAAAATGGTCATTGGGCCGTTTTTCTTCCAAAATGAAAATGGCCATGCTGTTACCATCAATCAGGAGCGTTATCGCGACATGATGACCAATTTTGTGATGCCAATTATTCGTCGAAAGCGTATGAGGTAGTTCTGGTTTCAACAAGACGGCGCTCCACCGCACACAAGTCGCATAACAATCGATTTTCTGAAGAATTTGTTTCCGGGCCATTTGATGTCGAAAAGTGGTGATTTGGACTGGCCACGGCGTTCGCCCGATTTGATGCCGCCTGACTTCTTCTTGTGGGGATATTTGAAGTCAAATGTTTACGTTAACAAGCCAAGGACCGTAGAAGAGCTCAAGGACAACATTCGTGAAGAAATAGCCGCTATTCCGGCCGAAATGTTGGCAAAAACTATGGAAAATGCAGCAAAAAGGGCACAATACGTTATCAACGCCAGAGGCGGCCATTTGAGAGATATCATATTCAAAAATTGATGTAAACAAATCTACTTGGAACAACAACATGGGTCCGTCGAATATGGGCAATCCTGTACTACAATATCCGGCTACTTAGCCACCACGAACATTGCAGATTTTGCCGCAAACCGCAAATAATTCCAACCACGTAAAACACCAAGATCCTTAGGTTCACTTTCGAAAGTGTCACAGGTATCTAGGACAATGAAACGTATCAATGCTGTTTTGTACTTTTCGAAATCATAGTGAGTAGAACACACCCTCCCAAAATTGTAAGTCCAGTATTTGGCTGGATAGATATAAAACTAAGAGCTTTTTTTAAGGAATTACATGGAGTTTTTTCAGAGTAGTGCCGGATTCATCTTCGCTGGCTGGTCGACTCCGCATCTGCACTGCCAGAAAGTCCATTGCGTGTGGACTGTGCAGCAAAGGTTTTCATACATCTGATCGATCTAATCTTATTGTGTCAGAAAAAAAAAATATACCTGCTTTTTCTTTATTCCAATTTTCCGGAAGAATAAATCTTTATTGTGGCCCTTAAAAAGGCCTGTACACCATTAAAATCCAACACCATACACGTAATACATATAGAAGACTTTGTCATCGTCCCTCCATGTGGACTTCTATCAACATAGTCATCATTTTCTTAGTTACATCACAAATCATTCTGCTGGCAGTCAACTAATAGTGTTGATGCTGCTATTCCCATTTCGTGGTAGCCACACACACACACAAAACTTGCACACTTTCGCGCATACAACTAACACCCACACTCTCCCCACCAGCCTTGTGGTCGACTTTGTCAGTGATAATTAAAGTATCACAGATGCAGTTATCAACGGTAAACGAAGTTGCAAGCAACTTGTATCGGATATTGGCAGACGGGCAGCTAGCCTGAATGTGATACATCTTGGAACGTGAGCATCGCATCTAATGCAGTATAAGCAGATTAGAGGGAATTGCAATTATCGTTAGATGTGTCTAAATAACGAACGGTGTTTCCACGTGAGCGAACACATGGATATTGTATAAGTTAATCGGTAGCCATATGCGTTTGCAAACTTCATGTTAAATCCGTGCAAGAACATTTTTGAAAACTTTTAAAATGTGGAGCTTTATATCAAGGAATTTTTAAAAGTATTTCAAGTATTTTAATACTGTAAGCTTCATTTGTATGGTCTCCTTTTAAATGACATGTTATCACAGAGGTTATCCATATGTGAGTATCAGACTAATTATACTGGCGTACATCTATGAGTCTTTAGAGCTGTTGAACTTTGACCTGTGGTGGAATTTAAATATTGGAGCTATATTTTATGGTATGAATCGATTTCCATTAAATTTGACCGAGGTATTAATGAGGTATGAAATGATTAAAAGAACTTGACAGATTTTATTCATATCGGAACAAAATCATGTTACCCAAATTTAAATGTGGCACAAAAAATGCACATGCTAGTTATATCTATATCTGAACCGATATCGACAAATTTTTGTCATGATATTACAAGGCTGTATCTAATAGCATGTACCGAATATTATTTTCAGAGAATGCATATAATTGATTTGGAGGCCTAAAATACAAAATTGGATAAAACAAGTTTATAGAAGCTTTAGTTACTATACCCTACAACACAAGGTGGTCAGAGTATTATGTCTTTGTGCATTTATTTGTAACAGGCAAAAGGAAACGAGATAGACCCATAGTTCCTTTTGATGATCTGCATAGAATCTCTTTCTGAGTTGATTTATGCATGTCAGTCCGTATGTCCCTCCGTCTGCCCATGTATTCTTGTGAACAAAACGCAGGTCGCATTTATTATCCGATTGAGATAAAATTTTGCAA